TAAGTAGTAAATCTAAGTCTTGCTGTTTTTGGGAAGGAATCATTAGGGAGACGAGAGTGAGTTAGTCCACTAACTTTATGTCACTGTTAAGTGAATTAAGTGCAACAGAAAAATTAAGAAATGGGCATTGTTGATCTTATTTTCTTGTTTAAAACCATAGATGCTGATCACTGCTGGCTAATCTGAAAATTTGGTCTTTGAGGTGGTGGTTCTGTTTATGTATTTTTAAAGTTATCATGTTATAATTATGCCTGTCAGAATTATTATGGATAACATTGCCGTTAGTCTTGTGCATACACAGTATGTGCAGTACAATTGAGGCATGAAATTCATCTTACAGTAAAATGCAGCTGTTTAAATAGAAATATTAGAAATGTGCATATAACTTATTTGAAAATAAAACCAAAGTTTTATTTGAATATGGGGTCATTTGAAGGGTTTTAAATATATTTTCTAAATGTATTTTATTAATTGATAATATTGATGTTGTTAATAAACTTCTTGCTTTAGTTTTGTGTTCACATTTATTTTTACCTTCTACTTAGACTTGAATGCTCTAAAAGTACTCAACAAATCCTTGGCAGAATACTGCCAGCAGGCTTCAGCTACTAGTTTCAAACCTGTAAGGGGAGAGCCTTGCTGTGCTTTTTTCTCTGGTAAGAGATTTTGTTTGCTGCTATTCTTTTACTCTGTATTTATGGGAAGTGCATCTCCATCACTGATTGTTAAAAATCCTGTTTAACATGCAGTTTTCTAAATCTACATTCTCACGGTATGTTTAATTTGGCAACAAGAAAGGAAATTAAATCTGCAGTTGGCTGTGGTAAACCAAGTATGTAAATGACGCAAGTGATTTTGCTATGAACCTTTAGACTCCCCTGTACAGGTTAATACTTTTAACAGCAGCTGTTGTGACTGTTGCTCAGTTACTTTGTTGTTTAATGTACAGAGAAGAAAGTTGAATTATTATCTTAAGGAAAGTTACTATTTCCAGAAAGTAAATATTGGATTTTCCACTAGTTTGTGTACAGTGTTAATAGTTTACTTGCACCCTTTAATGTAGTTTGTGGCTGAAAATGGTATCTGTATTTGGAAAGAAACAAGAGTTGATTCTTTGTTGCCATCCAATTTTGTGGGCTTGCTTGCAACAGTGTAGAAGATTCACTGTTAAAATTCTACAAAATTGCAAATGACAAACACTCTCTCTCTTCTCTTGTTCACTTTGTTTGCAAATGATCACATATCTAACACAAGGTAACGGAATCAGAGCTTTCAATAAAAGTAAATCATAAATGGGAACTTAAATTTAGGTTGATGTTGGAAATTTTTAAAATCCTAGGTGATGGTAAATGGTACCGTGCTTTGGTAAAAGACATTTCTTCAGATGGAGCTGTTAAAGTACAGTTTGTAGACTATGGAAACATTGAGGAAGTAACTCCAGACAAACTCCGACAGATTTCATTTGAGTTCCTGAAACTTCCATTTCAAGGAATTAAGTGTTGGCTATCAGGTAGGTCTTCCTACAAGGAATGTTAATAAGAGAACACTTAACAGGTGCAGACATTCTTTGTTTTTTAGAAATTGTACAAAATTGCTAGCAGGGTAGGCCTTTAAACGTTTAATAAAATGTAAACAAAACAAAAACCTGTGATACAAGAAATTGTAACTTGGCAATTTTTCTTCTTGGCTGTTTCAACCATATTTTTCTCTCCAAGTCACTCTAGTCATTCCGTTTCTTGAACTGCATTACATTTAAACTTCCAGTTACAGATCTACTGACATCTTTGGTTCCCTTCTTGCTACATAAGTATAAATTCTTATTGCTACTCAGGGCTTTATAAATGAAGCAAGAGGCAGTGCTGAGATAAACCACTTTTAGGATACAGGTCAGTGTAGTTAGGCCATGGTTTTGCCTTGCTTGGAAATCCCCTGACATCTACAGTAGGATTGCCTTAAAATAGAAAATGCTTCAGGTCCCACCCCCCAAAATTGAAGTGGCTACTTCGAGAAATATGTTTTCTCCAACTCTTCTTGTTCTACAAAAAAAAATGATGTGTAAGGTAAATCCCTAAATCACAACTCCAGTTATGTATGCTCGGTGAGGAAAAGAGAGTGGCTACATTCACCCTATTAATAAATACTTTGGTCTTTCTATAATGATTTATAACTTAGGATATTATTTTGATTTACAAACACTACATGCAGCATTAATAATTACCATTCTCTTATAGTTTGGGATGAGGCGGGGTGTCATTTTGGTTGGGAGATGGGCTGCTTGTTTTTTGTAAATATAATCTACATGTTCCTAGGATAGCAAATGTGGTTCTTTTGTTTGGTTTGGTTTTTCCCAGCCACATCATAATTCTTAATTTGGAGATAATTAATTCTAGAAACAAAAGACATGGTGCCAAAGTTGTTTGTGTGTGTGTTTTTCTTTTTTAAATCTTCCCTATTTAGGTGTAAAGCCTGTTAACAAACAGTGGCTCCCAGAAACTATAGCAAAATTTCAGATGTACACAGCAGGGATAAAACTTCAAGCCAGTGTAATTTCCTTGACCAAAAATGGTGTTGGACTAGAGCTCATTGACAATTCCACAGGTTGTCCAAGAATGATCAGTGAAATGTTAATATGTGAACAACTGACCTTAAAGGAAGTTCAAACAAATAAAGAGGTGCTACTAACCAAATCTGCTGACAAAAGAGAGTGGCAAGGTAACTAAATCTGTTAACTCTTCTAGTCAGCCCACAAGAATATCTTCAGCTTGATGCATCTTGGATACTAGTAAATAGTAAAATAGACGTGCCTTGTTTTAAAAATGCTAACGATTTGTCCATTGGACACCAGACACCATGCAGATGGCATTATAGACCCCCCAAAAAGATGCATTTTGGACCACCACTACTAAAATATTCTGTAACTGATATAGCAAACTTGAAGAATGTCTGAATTTTCTAAGCCTTTTGCAGCATCTGATGATGAGAGTTCAGGCTTACAAAAGCATATAGTATGTGTCTCTGATTTAGTTAGTGTATAAATTAAACATTTACCCAGCTTTCTGCCTGCCTTCAGACCTGAAGTGGCTAAGTATTTATCTAAGTTTTCTATTATACATACTTAGTAGTATCTGGTATATATATTCCATAAAAATGTAGGCATATCTTGGGTAAATCAGAAGTCTGCTGATGAACAGAAGATGAAGCGAGTTCACGGTAGCTTGTGTATTAGGGTGTGGACAGACGTATAACACTTGAACCTTTCCAAGAATGTCCCAGTTTTGGAGCCAGTTCATAGAACTTGCTGCACAGAAGTGTGCACACATAAGGGGCTAAGGGTTCTGAGTGGATCCCTCAGCTTCCAG